ATGGGGTGGTTAAAAGTAGAAAAGGAGGGGGTGGCCTCAAATCTGAGAGGGTCGAGTTCCATCCCTTTGGAATCATGGGGTGGTTAAATGTGGAGAAGGATGGGGTGGCCTCGAATCTGAGCGGGTTGGATTCTATCCTTTTGGAATAAAAGGACAGGGTGGCCTCGAATCTGAGCGGTTGAGTGCCATGCCTTTGAAATCACAGGATGGTTAAAAGTGGAAAAGATCCCAGAGACACAGGGTGGCTGAATGAGACACTGAGGTTGGAAAGACCTCCAAGGTCATCCTCAGCTCAGTGCCTCCACCATGCCCTCCACTAAACCATGTCCCTAGGTTCTGAATACATGTATAAAATTGTCACAGAATCATCAAGGTTGGATTTAAGATCACTCAGCCCCTCAACCAGCGCTGCCTCTGGAGCCACATCACCCAGCTCTTGGACACCTCCAGGGACAGTGACTCCACCACCTTTCCAGGCAGCCTGTTCCAATGTCTCACCATGCAAACACTGAACATTTTTTTCAATATCTGATGCGAATCTCCTCTGTCTCAGCTTGAGGCCAATTCCTCTTGTCCTTCACTGAGCTCACTCTTCTCACAGTAGGAGAGATGGCCCCACCTCACCCACCTGCCCATCAGGGAGTCATGGAGAGCCAGAAGGTCCCACCTGGGCCTCCTTTTTTCCAGGCTGAGAAAGCTCCCCTCAGCTCCCTCAGCCATTCCTGGTGCTCCAGACCCTTCCCCAGCTCTGTTCCCTTCTCTGGACACACTCCAACCCCTCAATGTCTCTCTTGCAATGAAGAACTGCCCCAGAATCCAATGTGCAGCCCAGCAGTGCCAACACAGGGGGATGAATGGTGTCCAAAAACCCCCAAAATCATTGAAATTGGTTCCCCACAGCCAAAGGGATAATCCCAGCCCTCCCTCTGCCTCCCAATCTGGTGATCCCAATATCCTGTTCTCCTTTCAGAAGGGCCATGCTGAGCCCTCCTGGGTGCACTGCTGCTGCCTCGGGCTGGGAAACGCTGTCCTGAGGGATCTGGGATCAGCTTTCTGCTCAGTCTCCATCTCCAATGACCAATGTGGGGCTGTGGTGTGACCCAGCATGGTGGGATAGGAGGGACTTGTCATTCCGGGGACTGTTTGAGAGTGCTTGAGCAGTCTCTCAATGTGATGTTAGTAAAGATGATGTTACAGTTACTGGAATGCCTGGATGAAGTTTCCTGCAGGAGCTCCTGCTTGCCAAAGAAGAGAATCCATGTGTTCCTGCTGTTTCAGGTGCAGGAAATGAAGGTTCAGAGAGGAGAAGTGATTTAGGAGATCACAGGGCAGGGTAACGGAGAGGATGGGAATAGAAATGTCTTGATTCACTGAGCTTCTCTGCAGCTGCTGGAGCGTGTGGTTCAGATCACCAACCCCAACGTGAACCCTGCAAGGCTTACACGGGGCTTTGCTCCTAATCTCCTGTCTGGGCTCCACAGAGCTCCTGGAACTGACTCTCCATAGGCCTAAACGTGGTGTCTTTTAACAGATTCCCCTCAGGGATGGGCAGGGACAAGCCTTGCCTTGTTCATCCCATGCCCAGCCCGTGGCAATCCTGGTGCCAAGTCTGGCTCTGTCCTTCCCATCAAAATGCCTGGAGAGCAGCTTTTGCTGATTTTTTAATGAGCAAAGCTACAGAATCTCTTTCACATGTTTATTTTGACAGTGTTAGACACTACCTGGATGGAGGTGTTTGTTAAATCCTGAGCCTGGCTCTCCTGGCGTGCAGAGCAGGCTGTTGGCATCTCCCTTCAGTGCTTGTTTTGAGGGGCACAGCAGCATTGCAGAGGGATTGTTCTGACCTTGGGGTGCCCCATTTCCCTTCAGACATTTCCCAGGCCAACATCAGTGTGCAGACACCATGCTCTTTGCAAAACTCCTTTCAAGGGTCTTCATTCTTGGCAAAAGTGTTGGGGAATGTCAGTGCCTGGCTCTGAATCCTACAGACATCCCTGTGCCTCCCAGAGCTGCTCTGCTCCTCACTGCCAGGCTCACTGCAGTGTTTTCCCTCCACCTGTGATGGCAAGAACAGGGCATCCGTCGGAGTGTGCAGGTGAAAATGGATTGTAACCTGCCCTGCCAACAGCTGATTAACGTTTGTGTCTCTGTCAGCATTGATTTAAGGGTGAGAGCATTCCAGAATCCAGCTGGGGCCCTGCTCCTCGGCTGGATGCTCCTTCCCTGTGCTTCTGTCATGGTCACCATTGTCTGCTTGGGGTGGGGAAGAGGATTATCCACTGTGGGCAGCTG